TTGTTAAAATCACTTAGTAATTTCTCTTTATTTAAATAGAGGTAGTTTTCTATGTTAATATCTTAGTGCTATGCTGGGAGTCATAGATACTGATTTTTTTGTGACTGAGAATTAGGCATTGTAATTGATGAAAAACATAATTTGAAACTGAAAGTATAATCAATATAACAGGGTTTAAATTATTTTTTTTGTCTGATGCAAGATATTTTAGCATAATTTTCCTCCAGCTTAGATAAATCCCCAATCATTATTTCTTTGCAAACAGGAACATTTAAATGATACACACACACACACACACACACACACACACACACAAATCTCAGTTTTAGCAAAAGTACTAGATCTAAGATCCTAGAAAATATTATTTAATACATGCCAGGAAATATCCACCCCTCCTCCAAAGGCCTAGTCTTACAGAAAGCTCCAACAGAAAACTCCCTTAAATGCCCTCTGTAATTGGATATTGAACTAAAATTCTTGAGACTTAATTTCCTGGGGCTATATTTTCACCTACTTAAGAAATGTCAGTCTTTGCTGGTTGTCTGTGAGCTATTATGACTGCGTCGTTTACCAGACATTGTACAGTGGGAATAGCATGATTTGAATTGAGTAAAGACACATGAGATGAACCATGTCATGTGAAACCCTGGGACAGATGTATAATCAGCCTTGAGTAAGGGAATAAGAGAGGCCTTCTAGGTCCCTCCACATCCTCCCACTTTTTATTTCATATTGATTTAGATAAAGTAGAATTGTTCAGGCTTTTCTTTAGAGGCTTATTAGGAGATAAATATAGAAAAGGAGTTAAGTTCTATATTCATATTTTCCCTTAGAACAACTGTATCAAATTGGAATTTTTTTTTTACCTAATTCTTTCTTTCTATCCCGATAAAAGTAAATAAAACCAGATTCCTTATGGTAGTTAAGGAGAACACCATTACTTTTTCAAAGATACGTTTTTCTCCACTGTTGTGGAATATACTAATTTTTTACTAGAATACATTAGACATACCCCTGTTACTGGATAAGACAGACTTTCCTTAGAAATTTGGAAAAATATTATATTCTATCCCTCTAGTTTTATCCCTGTCTACTGTCTTAGCCTTATCTCCTCAATACTACAATGAAATCAACTCCTTGTTGTTTCCTACCTCTATGCTGTTTCCTCCACTAAATGTCTTTGTCTTCCTTCTCCATCCGTAAAATATTCTAGTCCTTCAAATCTCCACTTCTGAGAAAGATTTCCCTCAATTCTGCAAGCTGACAGCAATATCTCCTCCCTTTAAATCCACAGAAGTCTGTATATATTTTTTTAATTTTTTAAATATTTATTTATTTTTGAGAGAGACAGAGCGTAAGTGGAGGAGGGGTAGAGAGAGGCAGAGACACAGAATCGAAGCGGGCTCCAGGCTCTGAGCTGTCAGCACAGAGCCCAATGCGGGGCTCGGACTCAACGAACCGTGGGATCTTGACCTGAGCCGAAGTTGGACGCTTACCCGATTGAGCCACCCAGGTGCCCCAAGTCTGTATATTTCTTAACACACATAGTGATTTGTTAAAATGTCACATACCCTAATTTATTAATAAGCTTCCTGAGGGAAGGACTTGCTTACTCATATTCATATTTCCCATATTATGCAGCACAGCATATCTTGCTTCAAAGATACTGGATAGATATTTGTCAAGCAATTAATTAATCAAAATACATAAGTGCCAATTTTAGTACCGTCATTATGAATGGCTTCGTCTAATAGGCTTTGCGAACGTCTCTATTACATTCAGCAGGGCCAAGCCTAGAGTCCATCCTGGAGGCAGGGTCGGTTTGGAAGGACTTGATGACATGGCACACGGAATCAGCCAAGGACACCCCCAGTGTGAATAGATAACTTGTTGGGTGCATCTGGCGGCAGCTGAGCTGCTGGCAACTTTTGTTTGGCATGAAGAGCTTTCAGCCCAGCTCTCATTGTGGCACCTCGCTTCCATTATGTGTTGCCTCCTGTTTTGTTTATATGAAAGACTACAGTCTTGTCTTAGAATTTCTGGGTATTATGAGTACCTTAGGGAAATCTGATTATAGAGATAATCTACTCAACAGTGAAGAGTTTCAATTTGTTTCTATTGAGTTTTGTCAATTCCGAATCCCAGATACCTTTGTCTTCCAGCCCATTGACTAGAGCCTCCCAGCCAGACGTTGAGGCATCTGTTTCTATAGTCTTCCGAACTGGGAAAGATAAATAAGAATGTGCGGGAATTATCTGTGTATTTGCTAACCACCAATTTAGATCTAAATAGACTCCCTCTGTTAGGAAGACTAATGAATTCCAATTCTCTGAAATATCCTTTGCTTTTAACAAGCAAGATGGAAGGTAGCTAAAGAAAAAAGAGAGGGAGAGAGAGAGAGATACACAGAGGGAAGAGCTGTGAATAATGCCACCAGAGAACCAATTATGTTCACCAGCTGGCATTGAGAAACTTGTTTCCTGTGACAAAAAAAAAAAAAAAAATTTCAGTTTTAGCCTCAGACTCCTTTTTGACATTGTGTTCTTTAGGGCTGAATGACAAATGCTCCCAGATACCCCCTAATATATTAGAAAAAAATTCTTCATACTTGTTACATGTAACATGACAGAGCAATGGGTGGGAACAGAAGGGCCAGCAGAGGCATCAATATGGCAGTCAATACGAATCGATGGGATAAAATGCTGGTCTCCCCAGCCACATAACTGACTTAGTGATACGTTCATGACTTGGCGAGACGGGGATTTAAAAAAACACTTGGTCAGGACATTTCATAGATGTAAGACTATATTTGTTGTGAAAGAAGAGTGAAAAAGCTGTGTTTTCCAGTAATACAAAGTGCATTTTGAACTTGGGTTATTTTTTCCCCTGTTTGTAATGGCAGCGAAACCCAGAACTGAGCCTTTATGTGTTTTAGTGGGGGACAGCCCAGATCTTAGAATGTCAGTAAATCAAAGCCCAGTTCTACAGTATGACAGTTCAGAGGAAGAAAGTCAGATGTAAATAATACTGACTTTAAAAACAGTATCTATTTCAGAATCTCTCAGCTGGTAAAACTTGGAAGGAAGCAGTGTCACCTCAAGGTTCATTCATGTTGTAGCATGTGCCAGAATTTCCTTCCTTTTTAAAGCTGAATAATATTACGTTGTATGCATATATCACATTTTGCTTATGCATTCCTCTTTGATTGACACTTGGGTTGCTTCCACCCCTTGGCTACTGTGAATAATGGTGCTGTGAACATGGGTGTACAAATAACTGAGTCTCTGCTTTCAATTCTTTTTGGATTTATACCAAAGAATGGAATTGCTAGACCATATGGTAATTCTATTTTTAATTTTTTAGGAGCTGCCACTGTTTTCCATAGCAGCTGTACCATTTTACATTCCCACCAATAGTGCACGAGGATGTCAATTTCTTTATATCCTCACCAACACTTATTTTATGTTTTTGTTTTGTTTTGTTTTAGTAGCCATCTAATGAGAGTGAAGCAGTATTTCACTGTGGTTTTGATTTGCATTTCCCTGACGGTTAGTGATTGTATTCGCCAGCGTGGACTGCCATAACAAAGACCATCAACTCTGTTTCCTACAGCTCCAGAGGCTGGGAAGTCCAAGATCAAAGTTCTAGCCAGTTAGGTTCCTGGTGAGAGCTCTTCCTGGCTTGCTAATGCCTGCCTTCTTCTCCATACCCACATGGAGGAGACAGAGAGATCATTCTCTCTACCTCTTCTTCTAAAGCCACCAATCCTGGTAGATAGTGCCCTCATTTAACCTTAGTTATCTTTTAAAAGTCCTGTCTCCAAATTTAGTCACATATGAATTTTGGAAGGACATAATTTGGTCCTTGGCAGTGATGTTGAGCTTCTTTTCATGTGCTTATTAGCCATTTGTATATCCACTTTGGAGAACTATTTAAATCCCTTGTCCATTTTTAAATGGGGTTATTGTTTTGTTTGGGTTTGTAGAAATTCTTTACGTATTCTGGATATTAACTCCTCATCAGGTATATGATCTGCAGGTATCGTCTCCATTCTGAGGGTTGTCTTTTTACTTCTTGATGGTGTCCTTTAAAGCGCGAAAGTTTTTCACTTTGATGAAGTCCCATTTACTTTTCCTTTGGCTGCATGTGGTTGTGGCCTCATATGCAAGAGACCATTGTCTGAGGAGTCAGAGTCATGAAGATTTACTCCTATGTTTGCTTCTAAGAGTTTTACGGTTTTAGCCATTATGTTTAGGTTTATGTTAATTTTGAGTTAATGTTTGTACATGGTGTGAGATATCCCTCTTAGTTCCTAAGACCATAGTAGTTTTAGAATGCTCATTACTAGAACAGATATGAAAAAAATTGGTAAGGAGTGTTTTGTTTTTTGTTTTGTGGTTTTTCTTTTCTTTTCTTTTTTTTTTTGGTTGTTATTCTTAAGGGTCTTCTCCAAAACAATTACTTATTGCAGACATGGGTAAATCACATCTACTTATATCATCACAAATATACTTCATTTACATTAAGCTCGTTCAGTCTGATAACCAGAGAAATCCAAACATCAGGTAACCTAACAGGAATGGCTGCCAGTAGCAGTTGAGATTAACAGTCGTTGAAATGTTGTGAATAATATCTCGATGACAAATAAAAGCTTGGCCTCATCTTTGTACCCAGAATTGGCTAAGACTACATGTCATTTTTAATTTTGATTAATGGCAGAGTAACTAATTAGGGTGGGAAAGGGATTAGAAAATCATTCAAGATGTCGGTGTAGTCCTCGTGCCATTTTGTCATGGATGCTATAGTCAAGTTCACAGTGACAGGCACATGTAATAACTAGGAGCTGAGAATAGTCAGATTTGAAGAGTCAAGGCAGTGCTTTTAAAATCAGCATTTTTAGTTAGATTTGATTTTCTTTTTCTGAATGATTATGCTGTTGAATTGGGCTTTGATTTATTGACATTCTGAGATTTGGTACAGATTTTCTTTTTGCTTTGCAGGATGCACAGAATCAAAAATTAAAGACCAGTATATTGTACTATGAGGTAAGTGCTGTTTCCTTCCATGCATACTGGACTCCTGATTTCTATAGTGGTGCCTGGGTGGCTCAGCCAGTTAAGTGTCCGACTTTGGCTCAGGTCATATCTCGTGGTTCATGAATTCGAACCCTGCATCGGGCTCTCTGCTGACAGCTCAGAGCCTGGAGCCTGCTCCTCATTTTGTGTCTCCTCTCTCTGCTCCTTCCCCACTAGCACTCTGTCTCTATCTCTCTCTTTCAAGAATAAATAAACATTAAAAAAAATTTAAATCTGTTGCAAAATATAATTATTCTAAGGAATAGATATTTTCTTTGTGTTTGCAATTTAGTTTCTTAGACCTGCAGCAGATCTAATTTATTAGAATCTGTGTAAGATATATGGCCATGGGTTCTGGTTGGGGCACCATCTTTAGGGGTTAGGAGGGAAGTCCTCTCCCCTAACAGTACCAGCAAGCAGATCAGTTGGGTTATTCATCCAAATCCTTCTTCAGTTCTTTGGGGAGATTGACATTGCCCCTTTTTGATACATTTCTTTTCTAGCTCCTCCTAACAGGTTTGGGATGATGAATTTTTATCCTGGAGCCCCACCATGTTTGATGGGATCAGGGAGATCTCTCTACCTCTAAGCGCCATCTGGGCCCCTGATATCATCATCAGTGAGTTGTAAGTGTGCTGGGGTGTATTTCTACGGGGCTTAAACTGCTTGGACTATTTATGCCAGTTGTCACTTTCAGTCACTGTTGCTGTCTTTTGTTTCTTAACCTAAAGAGGATCATAGTGTTGGGAGTATTCCAGGTAGAAGTACTATGAGTTGACATCATTTAAGATACAGATTTAATTACAAATGCTTGAGGTTACTCATGGGTTATGTCCGTTGCAAAAGTAGCAAGTGAATTATCTTTTGAGGCTGTCATTACTGAATCCATCTTTGCCAGAATAAATGACGTCATGGGAAATGTGATTCTGTCTTTTCACTTCTAGACTAGTCCTGAGTATCACAGCCACTACCATCTCATAATCAGTTCTGTTCATGTATTGAAATGACTAAGGCCTTCTCTGTAACAGCGAGGTCTTCTTGTGTTTCATATAGTGTGGACATTGAATGATCACCCGGCCTCCCCTATGTCTATGTGAACTCATCTGGGACCATTAAGAATGCTAAGCCTATCCAGGTGGTTTCCACATGCAATTTAGAGACATAACGCTTTTCCATTTGATATGCAGAACTGCAGCCTAACTTTCAGTAGCATCCTGCACACGGGTAAACCGTGAGCAGCATAGTCTGCCAATGGGAAAACACTCTTGTGCTGGGTTGGCGCACTTAGGTGAAATTATATCATGCTGTCTGTGAGGTTTATTTTGTTCTTGCACATAGTTTTTACAAATCGAAATCTTTTCTTACAGCTATTTGGCTACCATTGTAATTTGGACTGAGTACAGTGTTGTGCCCAGATATATTGCTCACTGCTGCTCTAGGTTTGGGAATACAGTATTAGGCCTCCTCTGCCACTGAGAAGGTTATAGAAGTGGTAGGACCAGGTCCATCATTCTATAGATAATGGAGTGCAAACTATAAATTCACAGTTGGTTGTTTTGTTGTTTTTTTTTTTCACTGAGAGGAAGACTCTATTCCACATCCCTATCCCTAATTCAAAATGGTTGTACTGAGCCCCATCTCAGTAAGACTGTACATGTGGGGGCAAGAGTGAAAGGAATAATTTGAGTTGGGAGTTGGAAAAGCGGGTGGTTATTGGGGCCTCTGTGTGTGGGGAAGTCCATTGTTTCTCTTGTTGTCAGTGGAAGATGTAGACCTGGCCTTCCGAGGAGCAGAGAAGACATTAACCATGACAAAAAGGAATTTTTGAAGGACAGTGAGTGGGAGCTTCTTTCTGTGTCCTCAACATACAACATCCTGCAGAGCAACACTGGAGATTTTGCACAGATTCAGTTTAACGTAGGTCCTTCCTGTTCCTGTTGCCTACTTCTCTGCAGTCGCAAGCCTTCTCTGCTGGGCTCAAGGATCTCTGCTCTGTCGTGTATTCTCATTCTTTATCATCGTCCAAAAACTGATGATTCAGGTGGCTCTGGAAGCCCCTTGCATTACAGCATTTCACAGACCAGAGATTCAGTCCCAGATCCTGGACTCCTACTGTAAGGATTCCATATGTGAGTAAAAAGAGAAGGGTTTCAGGCACCTGAACCACCCACCTTAGCAGGCATCCTCAAGCCTTTCAGTGCATACTAACATCCCCACTCCCAATTGCTGCTGAGAGGAGGGGGAAACAAAAAAAAGAAAAGAAAGAAAACCCACATGCAGCAACAACAACAGAGTGGGAGAAGAGCGTCTCTTTAACGTTACTGTCCTGTTTTTAACTGAGTAAATTATTAATTAATTCCAGAAACAAATGCATAAAGCTATCATTATTAATTTGACTGTCTTGAGCAATTAGCTAACAAATCACCTACAGGATCCTCAGAGACTCCTGGTGGTTTCTGGATCAGAGAGAACAGCTGCTCTAAAGGGATTCGATGAGAACCCAAGCTTCTCGGAAGCACCACCAGGATGCTCTTGGCTGCATTGTCATGGGACAGTTTGTTCAGCAGGAGCCTGAGGGGTGGGGTGCAGGACAGCGAAACTGCTGTTTTACACTCCAGAAGCAGCCATTCTCCCTTCCCTGGCCCTTCTGGCAAACTGTCCTGATAAGTGGTTTGTAGCAAGTTCATGCAACTGGTAGATCCGCTGTCAGTATTCACTTCTGCTTTTCTGCACAAAGTCAGCTAATAGTGTTGATAGCTGGGTGGGGAGGAGTTCTTCATGCCAGGTAATGTCTGTGATTGACAAATAGAGACTACAGGCAGGTCAGGATGACACACGAGATGAATTCTCTTGGAAACAATCCTTTTGGATAAGAAGGAAAATTCAGACTAGCCTAGGTGCTATGGTTATGCTGGATAATCATACGCTAAGAGAGGGTGGTATTGAAATAAGCTATTATTGAGGGCACAGATGCCCCTCCATTGGTCAAAAGACGTTCCATGCAGCTTTCCAGCAAAGCTCTGGTTAAATCAGGGCCTCCTAGAAATAGCTGTGGCTTGAACGTGACTAATGTATAACTAACTCATCACAACTCATACCTTCCTGGTGGTGGAGTCTGGGTGTTTGCCTGTTCTGCTTGGTTTTTAGCAAAGCTGGCGTCGTGGCTTATTTGTCCACTTTTTTTTTTTTTTAAAGTGAGAGAAAGGGAGGGGAAAAAAGAAAGCTTTTTTAATTTCAATGAGTTTCTTGGCTAAGAGTAAACACCTCATTAATTTTAAAGATATCAGCCCACAAACATTATTAATGCAGCCCGAATAATGGCGAGCATTAAAGGGAAATGTGAGGGAGGAGCACGTGCGAGGTGGAACACAGTCACCTACCAAGCGCTCCGGAGAACGCTGCACACACCATTACCTACACTGCACGAAGGAGACAAACAAAGGCAAGAGGCAGGGCCGATAAACAGGAGTGCGCACGCACACACGCACACACACATACACTCACACTCTTTCCATAAAGCAGCCATTATTTGTAGTTACACGTCACCCTTTACCCTGAATATTAATTTGTCTTCCCAGTCGCGGCGAAAGGCTTTCTATGTAGTATGTCCGTTTTTAAATATGATGGACAGAGGCATAAAACAGTGCTTACGGAAGGAGAAGCTTCCCTGTGTCTCGGGAACAGTGATCCCATCCCTTTGCTCTGTTCACCGCCATGCTTCCTCTGCATTTACAGTGTTTACATTGAGGTATGCCAGAGGTGGGCATCGACAGCACTGTATGCTTTTGGAGCTGTTTCCTGCGTCTCTTTGCCCTGGGGGCTGCTTTCCACCCTCACCCTCTGGAACAGAGTAGGGGGAGAACCCTGAGTAGTCACAGATCATGTTTCATAGGCAGGGAGCCATGCCCAGAAGCAGTTATACAACTTTGGAAAGACTTAAAGTAGATTCAGTGGCTATCCTAGGTCTCTTGTCTCCCTTGGCCTCTCTCAGCCCCCATACCTCCGCACACCTGCTATGTGCCCTGATGGGTTCATGATCTCTTACTCCATACCAGTCATCCTGCTCTGAAGTTGACAACTGAGGCATCCTGGTGACCTTCGGTAGCCTTTGGGCAATGACGTGAAATCGAGAGCCCGGTTCTCTGCCAGCACTGGTCTGCCAGGGTCCTGACAGCAAAGGGCCATCTCCCTCCTGATCTAATCACCTGCATTGTCCCTGTCCAGGCTGCCCAGTGCGGGGGTGGAGACAAGTGGAGCAGACAGGAGGAAAGATGATCTAAATATCTTGTCCCTCTGGGCCTGATGTACATTGCTGCCATTACTACTAAATCAAGTGCTCAGGATTCCTGGTTAGCTCGAGCTAATGTGCAGTCATATCTGCTGGCTCTAGAACACGTATTGTTTATCAGAGGGCACTGCTAACACATTGGAGTCAGGCTACATTCCACAGGGGGCTCAGAGCATGGGCACCTTTTGCCTACAAGGAGGTCTGTGTGCAGCCTGGCACCTGCTCCAACAGCCATAGGAGGAAAGATTCCCTCCAATACATTATCGGACATGCTGCTTCCAGAAACAGAAGGGTGAGCATTCCGTGTCTACGTGGCAGCTTTTTGTTTTTTTGTTGTTTAAAAAAAAAAAAAAAAAAAAAAAAAAAAAACGAGGGTAGAAGTGGGAGGAGGTAGGAATAAAATGTGAGAATTCATTTTGGATGGAAAAGGGTGGACAGCTGTTGGAAGAACTAAAGTGAGCCCAACACGCACATATACTCACAATGAGTGAGATGTTCATGCAGGCAGGGCTGGGAGCCTTCCCGGGCACCCCTGGAAAAATGCAGAGGGGCAATTGAGAAAGCAAGGTGCCCCATCTTTTCCTCTTTTTCTGGCATAGTTTTCCTTTATAGATTAGGTTAGAGTAGTTTTGTTGAGATATCCATTGAATGCAGCTCATGAACTTGAGAGAGGTTCCTTCTGAACTCCACCAGATCGGGAGGGGAGTGAGAGAATGAGAATTTAGAGCCCTAGAAATCATTCCAGGGTCACTCAAGCACCCTGACATCATGGACTTTGTGCTAACCCAGCCTGACCCATGGTCCAGATCCAACTCTGAGTCCGGAAGCTCTCGCTCCTGTGCAGGGATCTTACTTAAATGGCAGCACCTTTCCCATTCTTTCTGAATTGGGAATGGTGGGAGGGGCTTGGGAGAGGAGGAAAATGGGCTTCTGTATGAAGCGTGAGTCTGGGCGTCAAAAATTCCAACTATGTCATAAAGACGGTCATGCAAAATTGAGTACTGGTGGGGTCTACCATCAAGGAGGCAATTAGAGGCTAACCTTGGGGCCTATTCCATCTCCAAGGAGCTCTCCACACACACATTCTGAATTAGATTGATCTCTTTCATTAACATCAATAGGCTCCAAATACCTTTGTGTACTTATTATTACCTGGCTTTAATGGATAATGAAATTGTGGCATAATATTGCTAACACCTGAAGGGTGTCTAATGGAGAACACGGACTGAAACTAAAGTGCTTTTTCTTCCCTTTCTGTGGAATTTAAAGGCACCAGCTCCTTTAGTCCGTTAGAAGTGATGGGCTCTAGGTAGGGGCAGTTCCACGGAGAGTGGTCTCACTGAGCTGGTGACATCCCTTCCCCCCCTAGCATCAGCCATCAGCTGGAGTCCCTTACTGTCTCTGGAATGACCCGCCGAGAGGTAGCCCTCAGGGGATGGATCTCCATAGGAGAAGCCCTATCTGTGATAACTCCATGCTCCCACCTTCTTGGAACTAAAAGTAACATTACTAATAAGACTCCAGTACAACGCAACGAACATCTCTTGAGCCCTTATCATGTGCCAGGCTCAGTGGCCCCACTGAGGACACAAGCATGGGTAAAGCGGGGCTTCTGCTATCCATCATGGGCCTGGGATGTTGCCCAGGGAGACATTGTGACAATGACCACAAAACCCAGCATTTACTTGACCCTGGGCACCATTTTAAGTTGCACATGTAATCCTCACATCTCTATGAGTTGGGTACTCTGAGTATCTGCATTTTTACAAATGGATGGATCGGGGTACAGAGAAGTTAACTTGCCCAAGTTTAAGTAACTTGCCCAAGGTTACAGGGTAACTGTGGAGCCTGACCTTGAGCCCCCAGTCAGTCTGACTCCAGAGACTATGTGCTAATCCTCTTTGATGTTGACATGCAACTCGGCTTGACATGGTCTATTCTAGTCCATTCTTTGGCGTTCATCCAACTGTCTGTTACTGGGCAAGTAACCTGTGCTCGTTTCCTAGGGCTTCCATAACAAAGTACCACAAACTGGGTGGCTTAAAACAACAGAAATTCATTCTTTCAGCTCTGGAGGCTGGAAATCAGGGTGTGAGCATGATTACTTCCTTCTGGGAGCTCCAGAAACAATCTGTTCCGTGCCTCTCTCTTAGCTTTTGGTGGCTGACAGCAACCCTGGGCTTGTAGGTATATCAGTCCAGGATCTGCCTCCACCCTCATGTGGCATTCTCCTTTGTGCGTCTCTCTTCTTCTCATAAGGAGCCCAGTTGTGTTGGCCCACCCCACTGCAGTCAGCCCTCATCTTAACTAATTATATGTGCGGTGATCCCATTTCCAAATAAGGTCACATTCTTACCTTCCAAGAAGGACATTAATTCTTGGGGCCATTATTCAACCTGGACAGTCCACTGCCCTCTCTGGCTCCCCCAAATTCATGTCCATCACCTATGCAAAATATCCACCCTCTCCCAACATCCCTAAATGTCTTACCCCATTTCAGCATCAACTCTGAGACCAAAATAACATCTAAATATAAACTCAGAAAGTCCCAAATCACATCGTCTAAATCAGGTACAGACTCTGGATATGGTCCATTCTGGGGCAAATTCCCTTTCCATCTTCAGAGTCTGGTTGCTGATCCCCTGGGATGGGCAGAAACCTGTCCTATTAACTCTTCTAATTCCAGTATTTAAAAAAAGTGTCTGACACTGCGTTTATGGTCAGTTAATGTTCCTTCAACAAGAGAGTAAAGAGATTTGAAGATCAAATGAGATCATGAAAACAAACCATTTCTGAAAACTGTGATAAAATTAGAATTTCTTTAGGCTGCACTGGGCTTGCAGAGAAAATTAGTCCATAAGTACATTGCTCCTAAATCAACCTGAAGAAAAAGGAAGGCCCCTTGTTCTTGAAGAAAACCAAAGAGGGGGCCTATGTAGCTTTATAGTGTTATAAGCCAAACATAGGTGGCAGGATTTCTGCTTTATGTTACAGGACAGCTAATTGTCTGCCTTGTAGCCGCCATGTTTCCCTTGCACTTCCGGCTGCTGGCACTATCCAGTGACGGATATTCTCCTGACAGGACTGGGTACATTCTTGGTGGGGTCCGGTGCAAAGGGAAAATGTGGGACCCCCTGTTCATAAATTACGAGTTTCAAAATGGCACCAGCAGAGCCTGAAACCAAACAAGCCCTTGTAAGTGCCAGGACCCGGGAAGTTTCCCAAGCCTCATGCCCATGAAGCCCGCCTACCTCGCAGCCTCTTGGCCCCTGCCACACCTCTCCCCTGGCACTGTGGGGGACACGTGGTCTGACAAAACTGAGGAGCCGTCTTTGGTTCTGACCCAGATTTATGTTCACTCTCTGCACCAGCCTCTGGGTGGAGAGGAACCATCTCAGCATGTGTTATTTACACAGGGGCTTTATTTAAAGAGACAACAGCCATTCTCAAATGTACCCAACATGTTCAGCAAGCAAAAGTGAAGTGCATTTTAAAAAAAAGGAAAATTAGGGGGCACCGGGTGGCTGAGTCGGTTAAGCATCAGACTCTTGATTTCAGCTCGGGTCATGATCTCACAGTACGTCAGTTGAAACCCTGCCTCAGGGTCTGTGCTGGCAGCACAGAGCCTGCTTGGGATTCTTTCTCCTCTCTCTTTATCCCTCCCCTCCCCTTCTCTCTCAAAATAAACAAACATAAAAAAAAAAAAAAGAAAAGAAAAGAAAAGAAAATCAAGGTATGCACCTGGGAGTACTTAAACTAGGACATGTAGGCACTTAGAATCCAGGGACTCTGCAACTCTATTCCCTTGCCTCTAAGCCTAGGCTCTTCCTGCTTAGGCAGCTGCCTACTTGTACTTCCTTTAGGGCAGGGTTCTTACACTTACTGTTCATGTCGTATCTGCCATGAGGTCTGGGGGGGCGGAGGTGGTCTTCCCACTTCTACCCTCTAGCGACAGCAGGCTTGGTTGCCCCCCACCACCCCACATAGCCCAGGTCAGGCCCACAGCACAAGACCCGTGTGGACTCTGACCACGTGGCTCCCTTTCTGTGGCTCCCTTCCTACGGCCCCCAGCTAACCACTGCCTGGTGGGTCATGTCACAGCATGACCAAGAGAGCTGGAGACACACGGGTTGGTGACAGTTCATTTTGTTGTGGTTTTTCTTGTAGACTGTGCTTTGGTAGAAATGTGTTTTAACCAAATCATTACAAAGCATGAGTGTGGCTCTCATTTAGATATCTGCAGCCCATTATGCTTCATGTGAAAGACAACAGCCAGACTGCAATCCTCCAAATGGCTCTGGCCTACCAAGCTCCAATGAGTCGGGATATGCTCCCAGACCCAAAGGCTGGGGGACCCCTGTTATCTCCTGCAAGGTGGTAGGTATCTGGTCTCCCCCAGCCAAGCTCTACCCCACCTCCGTCTCCTCCATTCCCGGCCTCTGCCTTGGCTTTCAGGTATCATTTCCATGCCACCCCCCTCCTCCAAATCCAACAGCAAAGAGCTCAGAACATGCATTTGTTTGGCAAACTGATTGAACACCCATCATAAGCTAGGTATTATCTTTGGCCCCATGAGGAATGTTTTAAAGGTTGCTGCTTTTGCCCCCAAAGGGTCACAGAAACCAGTCCTATCGTTCCCTGATGAAAATAGTTTGTGTTTATTAAAGACACTTCCTGTCACCGCCCCCAGAGAAGCGAGGTCTACAAAAATGGCAATGATAGAGCAACTTTCTGAGTCTCAAATTCCCAGCTACACAGCCCCGGCAGGAGCTCCGGATGCTCAGCCATCCTGCGGGGTGTCTTCAGTTATCTCCCCAACTTAGACCCACTTCGCCCCTTCTCCTCCTGCTCTGTGCCCCTGGAGACGAGCCACGGTCTCTCTGACCAATAGGAAGAGGGGATGGAGTGGCAGGAGATTGGAGAGAAGGGGAGAGTGAGGAGGGTGCAGATGAGCACTCCATTTTTCTCCCGGTGGAGTCAAGTTACCACGAGGCTGGCTGTGCCCCTAAGGGGAAGCCACAGCTCCTGCTTGGTGGCCTTCTCCACCCAGCTTTCTCTCAGATTCTGTTCACATTCTCAGCCCTTGCCCCCTTCAGGACTAAGGACAGAAGCAGCTCACCCAGTCCTCCCAAGTATCTGGGGCACTGCCCCCCTTCTTGTGGTTTCCCTCTGCCCTGCTCCTTGTAAACGGTCTCCTTGCCAAGCACTCCACAGATTTCCCAGTGGTGCTATTTGTTCCTGCCCAGACTCTGACACATACACAGGTGCTAAGGTACTCACGTTCCACATAGGAAGACGGGCTAAACCAAAAATAGTACAAGATGTTGCCTACACGCTGTCCGAAGAAAAATGTTGGTGTGAGACCTCAATTTAAAACAGCTTCTCACTCACCAGCTGTGTAAGTTTGAAAAAGAAATTTAATGTCTGTGTACCTCGGTTTCTTTGTCTGGAGATGATAATACCCAGCCTTTAGTGTTGGTGTGAGGGTTGAATAAGAGCATAGGAAACACAGCCCAGTGCCTGGCATACAGCAAGTGGTAAATAAATAGAGGCTTCTTCTTATAATTATTAATAATATTAATACAAGTTCTACATAAAAGCTTAAAGGTTTGTTTTTTTTTTTCTATTTTCTAAAACACAAAATAATCTCCGTTCTCGAAACTACATAGTCATTTCACATTATGTAGAACTGTTGGGACTTCGGGGATCTCTTGGCCGTGGGTTTGGCCAAACATTAGTCCATCAGCTTATACCCTGTCTTCAGTAGACTCCATGGCCCCGGCCAGGTGGTGATTCGCAGGCGCCCACTGGTCTACGTCATGAGCCTGCTGATTCCCAGCATCTTCCTCGTGCTCGTGGATCTGGGAAGCTTTTACCTGCCACCCACCTGCCGAGCCAGGATTGTGTTCAAGACCAATGTGCTGGTGGGCTACACCATCTTCAGGGTCAACATGTCTGATGAGATGCCAAGGAGCGCAGTGAGCACCCCTCTGATTGGTAAGCAGCTTTGGGGACACCAGACCTCCATGTTACAGACTCCCATCAGAGATGAGATGCTGCATTTCAGACAGGGGGCGCTGGGGGAGGGAGAGGCTCCAGAGACTCTAGCTGATGCCGCCTCATTTGGTTCCTTCCACCAGGAGTCTTCTTCACAATTTGCCTGGCCTTCTTGGTTCTCGGCTTATTTAAGTCCATCCTATTGGTCACATTCCTCCATGATGAGTGCAGCAGTGAGCAAGAGTGGCCCCTCTCATGCCTTCAAGGGGACATTGACGCTGACGGGCCTAGAAGAGATCCCCAAGCCCAGCCTGCTGGGGTGACAGGTTTGTGAGAAGCCTCAAGGCCCCTACCCTATCTTGCTTTATCACTCTCCACCCTAGTTTCCGTTGGTGGAGCACCAGGCCGGTGTCCCGCTGGGTGAAAAGTGTGAAACACTTGCTTCTTAACCTCTGTGCTGCATCTGATATTATCGCTCTGGAGATCGAAGGCTGTCTACCACCTGCTGGCTTTCCAGAAGGCCTCCTTTTAGCTTAGAGGTCAGGCCCTCATTTGGCTTTCCTTGTTTTTGTTTGTGTTTTCCATTGTTTCTCGGCCTTTTGGCTGAGATCAAGCGTTTGTGTTTTCCAGTTTTAACCAGTACCTAAAGTGACTGAGCCTCTGACTCTAGAATAATAGAGCATACATGCACAGTTTGTATGTATTTGGGTTCCTATCACTTAATCTGAAAAAGTGTATGAATGATCTCAGGGCTCACTTTGGCCCCACATATACTAAAACTGGAACAATACAGAGGTTAGCATGGCCCCATGCGAAGATGATATACCAACTTATGAGGCTATTTTTACTGTTCGCTTGAAAGTTGCTAGGTGGGGCACCTGGGTGGCTCAGTTGGTTAAGCATCTGACTTCAGCTCAGGTCATGATCTCACAGTTTGTGAGTTTGAGCCCCGCGTCGGGCTCTGTGCTGACAGCTTGGAGCCTGGAGCCTCCTTTGGATTCTGTGTCTTCCTCTCTCTGCCCCTCCCCTGCTTGCACTCTGTCTCGGTCTCTCTCAAAAATAATAAACACTTTAAAAAAATTAAAAAGAAAGTTGCTAGAGAGAGTATACCCTAAAAGCTCTGATCATGAGAAAAAAAATATGTGACTATGCATGGTGATGGATGTCAACCAGACTTACTCTGGTCATCATTTTGATATAAATATCTCAAATTACTATCCTGTACACCTGAAACTAATATGTTATATGTAAATTATATCTCAATTAAACAAAAAAGAATCATCCCAGCCTCTAAAACTCCAACTGAGTCAGTGGGGCTGGCCCCTCCCTCTCTCAGGAAACCTCCTGGGTAGATCCAGCCTAGATAGCCTTCCTCACAACACAGCTCTGCCGTGTTCTCCAGGGCTTCTTTCAGCACAGCCTCACCTGCCCTGAGCAGGCAGGAGAGAGTCCCCAACCCAATCCACTGCCCTATACCCCCTACAGACCTTCCTTGTAGTATGAGGCCGTCAGCTCCAGTGGGAAGTCCAGGGGCCACGGAAGCCCATTCTCCCCTCTCATGCAGAGCCCTCGGTCTGTCGAGAACACCAGGCCGAGTCAGAGACCCTGAAGGAAGTCTCGTTCCAGCTTAAGTCCATCAGCACCTACTTCCAAACCTGGGACCAGGAGGACCGACAAGAGGTTAAGTGGCTGGCCTTCCTGGAACGTTTTGACCGACTGCTCTTTAAAGCGTGCCTCGTCGTGTTGGGGCTCTATGCCGTGAGCCTGTGCTCCCTCTGGGCGCTGGGGAGCAGCTTGTGAAGACTGGAGGCTGTTGGTCTCACCCAACATTCGCTTTCTCGGTACTTGGGGAAGGTTGCAAAGTTTTGTGGGGAGGTTGGAGGGGGGCATGGCAGGTTAAAAAGCTCCCCTCTTGCTGCCTCTTTTCATTCAGTGCAGGTACTCACACCTAATGAGGTACTGAATGGCCCAGGGCTAGTGCATTCATGGCGAACATGTCTGGCCATCTCCAGGTACACAGTGAAAAGGAAGCCCGCCTTCTCATTCCGTGCCACTCCCCAAAGGTGACACCATTAGCCATCTCTTTCAGAAATTTTCTAGGTACATACATACTTGTATGTTTTTGGGTGTTTGTTTGTTTGTTTGTTTTTGTTTTTAGTGTAAGATTCCTTCATCTCCCTGTTTTATCTTAGTCACTCAGGCAGCCGTTCAAAACCTTTACCGAGTATCAGTTAAGTCCTAAGCGTTATGTTAGGACATGAGAGAACACAGAATAAGTCAGTCACAGATCATTCTTCACTGGAATGATTCCCGAGGTCAACCTTGTACAAAGCAGAATGGAAAATTGTCATCATGTCTGTATCCTGAAGCTCTTGTTCCCACTGGCTCCAACGAGCGCCTCTACCCTGGTACCTCACCACAGTTGGACAGAAGCCGGGCTCCAAACCTTCCAGACCCAATCTAGCACAACCTGTAGTCAACGCAGACCATGTATAAGGCACTGAGCTGGGGGATGGGCTTCATGCATGCCCCTTGGGTTCAAGGAGATTATCATCTACTCTCCCTGTAGAATCAGCTAGGGCCGCCAAAACAAAACACCACAGACTTTGTGGCTTAAACAGAAATTTATTTTCTCCCTGCTCTGGAGGCTGGAACTTTTCTTTGAGGCCTCTCTCCTTGGCCCATAGATGGCTGTCTTCTCCCCGTGTCCTCAATGGTCTTTCCTCTGCATGTACATGTCTGTGTCCAAATTTCCTCTTCTTATAAGGACACCAATTATGTTGGATTAGGGCGTACCTTAACAACCTCATTTAACCTGAATGGCCTTTTTAAGGGCCCTGCCTCCACATACACATGCTGAGGTACAGGGCATTAGGACTTCACCATATGAATTTGGGGGGCAGGGTGAACACAATTCAGTCTATAGCACTCACATGATGGTGGACGCTTGGCAAGTTAAAACTCTGCACGTAAGCTGGAAGGCCAGGACCCAGGGAATAGTTGTAGTTTGAGTCCAAACTCAACTATTTGGGAGGTGTCTGCTGGCAAAATTCCCACTTTTTCCAGGGGCGTCAGTGTTCTTCTGCTGAGGCGTTCAACTGATTGGATGAGGCCCACCTGTACTCTGGAGGGTACTCTATTTCACCCAAGTCGACTGATTTAAATGTTAATCTCCTCTAAAAAATACCTTCACAGAAACACCTAGGGTAATGTTTGACCAAACATCTGGGTCCTATGGCCTAGCTAAGTTAACACACAAAACTAACCATCACAGTCCCAATGGCCCCTTCGCCTCCCATCTCTGCCCACAGTTACTTGTCCGGACAGAAGAGCCCTGAGCACATGGAACTGGGGTAACTGGTCAACTTCTGGCTCTTACTCTCCAGTGGCCCAGTCTGCCATGAGTATAGCTCACCTTCTGGCAGTTCCATGGCCTCACAACCTGAATTCTAAGGTGGAAGTTCAGGTCTTCCACAAAATTTCCTTCCTCCTGTTTTGACTTTCTTCATTTCTCATGGCTTCTTATTACAGTCTTCTGTCTAGCCAGACTAACCTGCCTGCCATTTCCGTCCAAGCCTCTACTGTGAGTTGACATATTCTTTTGTTTCTCCAGTCTGTGTGCCATTGCGTCTGAGGAGGCTGCTCAAAACAGCCTCCCTCACCTTTTTCCCCTGAGCACCTCGTGACGGTCCCCTTTCTCTATCTTTACCCTTACCTTATTCTGTGTCCTTCCCCCTTTGAACATTTTAGGGCCTTGTGTGTGTGTGCATGTTTGGTGTGTGCACGTGTGTGTGTGTGTACATAGGTGTGTGGTGTGGTATATGTGTACAGGTGTGTGGGTGTGTACATATGTGGGATGTGGGGTGTGTGTACACATGTGTATGTGTGGTGTGTGCACATGTGTGGGTGTGTATACGTGTGTGTACATCGGTATATGGTGTGTGTGCGTGCGCATGTATGTATGTGTGGTGTGTGTGATATACATGTGTGTGCACATCAGTCATCACACAGACCACATGCTCCTAGAATAGCCATCCCGTTTTCTAGTTCCAGTTTATCCCCATCTCAGGTCCACACAGAGCTTTGCTCATGGCGATTCTGCGCTAATTGTTGCAGAGCAACGCATTCTAGCTCGCTGCTGACGTTGGACACATTTCGAGTGTGTTTTTCCAGGTCTGAGGGGGAAAATCTACCCGGGGTCAGACTCCCAGCCCCTCGGCATCCCTCTGCCCTCCGCCAGGGCAGCCATCGGGAGGTTGGCGGGCAGACCACGGTTGGCTGAGAGTCAACTCTCCTAACACTGCCAGCAGAGGACACGAAAGTCCAAAGCTGTTTGCTAGGAACTTTTTGCGGCACTAAAATTGTCTTTTAAAAACCCTGCTCCCCCATCCCCCTAAAGAAAAAGAATTTAAATTCAAACAGCCTTTACCTGCATCCTCCCTCTCTCATTACCTCCCAGTTAGTGCTCAACGCCAATTGTCCATGAAATTCCGCTGCTGCTGTTAATGAAATGAGGAACATAAGAAGTTTGTGAACAGGAAGTGTCCGTGCAAACCTCCACCTGTTTCCCTCCTCACTTCCTCCTCTGCCTCCGCCTGCTCAGTTAGCTTCTCGATCGATCCCTAGATGTCTCTTCACTTCCTCCGCTGTCACGGGGGAAAAGGCTTGCAGTGAACTCCCCGCTATGTTGTCTCCTTCCTTTCCAGTTGTCCTTGGGGAAAGCGTCTGGTTTTGGTCCCAGCTCCATCACTGTCCAACCAGGAGACCTTGAGCGTGATTTCTCAGAGCTTCGACTCTGCGACACGGGTTGCTTATACTTACTCCACCAAATCACAGAACTTTGAGGATTGGAATGAAGCAATGTATTTAACAGCACTTTAAAAAGTAACTAATACATCACAAAATAAAAATAAGACCTGCCTGCTGTCCACAGATGGACTGTACTCTTCAGGCTTTGGTGTGAGGTCTTTCTTCCTCTGCCTCGATCAGAATCCACTTACGAGCTCTGGCTCTCCCCAGAAGTGCCTTTATTCCAGGATCCAAGGGCCAAAGCCTGAAGCCATCACCTGCCTTCTGGCCAGGGACTTGGGTGGTGGGGCTGCCCAAGGGATGTCCCATTCCACTTTCCATGCAGCCTTCTTTCACTTCCTCCCTACAGAGCATCTCCTCGGTCCTCCTCCAAGAGGCAGCCTTTCAGGAGCGAGGCCTGACCACTAAGCTGGGCCCCAGTGTGGACCACCTCCGTCCAAGTGCCAAGGGGCCCTGATCTCAATGTGGCAGCCAGGGATGCGTTTGAAGCCCCAGGGTCAGGTCTGCGTCCTGAAGCAGTGCCATTATTAACAAATGACATGGGACCCCTCCCCCTGGAAGAGAGTCCCTGTGCCGTGGGAGGAAGATAGGGCACCAGCAGCCTTTATTTACAGAACAGCTTTAGCTCAGCTCCTCCAAATGTTTAGAAGTTTCACGATTCCTGTGTCACAGAGGAAGGAAACTGAGGAACAGAGCAAAAATGGGATTTTCCCAGCTGTGACTGCTCCGACCATCTGCTGTTTCCCAGAATCTAAGGTAGTTTCGGAGCTCACCAAGAAATCACAGCTCCAATTTGGGGGACTTCACTGACGTCTAGAAGAAAGACTTAGCTAAGCACAGCCCCAGGCTAGACAGGCAGCCCTCCGTTTTATGTCATTCTATCTCAGAATAGCTTCCAAGGCCGGCTGCTATGGTCTCCTGTAGCCTGTGCGGTCTGGTGTAGGGCCAATAATCAGGCCGTGGAGGGTCTTGCTCCCCTCCCGAGACACCCCCCTCCCCCTCCCTGCTTGTCCTAGAGGGAGGAGCTGTTGCGGTTAAGGAAGCTGACCCCCTCACCCTTAGTCTCTGTGACCCAGCTTTGAACCTGGACAGGTCAGACCGGGAAGCAAACCAAAGAACTCACAGCTCCCATCCTGGGCACAGGCAGCATGGAGCAGCACCTGGCGGGATTAGACCCACCTCGGTGCAGCCTGGAGGGCCCCTGGGTCCTCTAACTTCTCAGGGATCTAAATATACATATAAAGGCAAGGTTAGCAAAAGGAGGTGGAACTGAAATTTTTCGCCTACCGTGTGGCTCTGAGGTTTCTAGAAAATTTCAGATTTTGTGCTCAAGGTAGGGGATTCCTCTACCAATTCCTGGATGTTGGCTGATCATCCCAAGGTAGAGACCCCAGGTCCCTGGTCCCCCCAGGAAGGAAGGCTATGCCTCCCTCCCTGCAACTCCCATCAGTGCCCTGGGCCCATCGCAGGCGTCTACCCCGTCTTCGTCCTCCTCCCTGGCTCACACTCCATCTCAGCAGCCAGAACCTCTCAGTCCTGAGTTATTTACCTGCTGAGACAGTAAGAGCTTCATAATTAGCTGAGCAACAGCATGGAGGCTTTTATGAGCAGCCAGGCCCCCCACCACACTCTGGTGTCCATAATTGAAATGACCCACGCCAGTGATTAGATTAGGGGGCTGAAGCAGCCCAGTGTGCCACCCCCACCCCCCTCCCCTGTCCTGTTGGGGGGGTGATGTAGTTAAGTTTGTGCTTCATTTGGCAGAGGCCATAAAGCAGGCATTGCAGCGAGGCTTTCTGCAGGGCTGGGGAGGCACTGCTGGGCCGTGGGCGGGCTCTGTGGCTGGTGACAGATTCCAGATCTGAGGGGGGAGCCCCTTGCTTGCCCTTTGCCTCGCTGTCTCTGCATCTCCCCCAGCCTAGTGCCAGGCTCCAAAGACCTGGGCCTAGCGGGATTACCAGCCCCGCTCAGTGTCCCTAGGGTCCAGGGCT